CAATTCCCCACTCATGACTTTACCATTAAGATCAACAGCACAACCATTGGACCTTCCCCTCATGCCAGGGTGCTAGACGTAATCCTAGACTCTGACCTCTCCTTTGGGCCCCACATCCAATCACTGGCTAAATCCTGCCTCCTCAACCTCCGGAACATTTCCAAAATCTGCCCCTTTCTGACCAATGACACCACAAAACAACTTATCCACGCCTTGGTTACATCCCGCCTTGATTACTGCAACTCCCTCCTTACTGGTCTACCATTACACATGCTATCCCTCCTTCAGTCTATTATGAATGCTGCTGCTAGACTCATCCACCTTACCAACCGATGAGTGACTGCTGCCCCTCTCTGCCAATCCCTTCACTTGCTTCCACTAACCCAACTTAAAGAATTCAAAATACTAACCACAGCTTACAAAGCCATCCACAACACTGCCCCTAGCTATATCACCAACCTCATCCACAGATACCGCCCAAATCGCCCACTCCGCTCCTCCCAAGATATCTTCCTCTCTAGCTCTCTCATCACCTCCTCCCACGCTCGCCTCCAGGACTTCTCCAGAGCCTTTCCCATCCTCTGGAACTCCCTACCACAGCATGTCCGGTCACCCCCACCCTGCCTGCCTTTAGGCGATCTTTGAAAACTCACTTCTTCAGGGAAGCCTGCTCCACCTCCACCAAAGAACTGTACTTGATTCACCTCCGCGAGATCATCCCCCACAGCTATCACCTTTTGTATCACCTCCCCCCTTCCTTTAGATTGTAAGCTCCACGAGCAGGGCCCTCACATTCCTTCTGTACTGAAATGTATTTTAATTGTACTATCTCCATTATATTGTAAAGCACTGCGCAAACTGTTGGCGCTATATAAATCCTGTATAATAATATTGATAAATAATTCAGTTATCTTTTTAGTAAAAAAAAAAACCCAAATTAGTTTATAACCAAAAATTATAATTTTTTTAAAAAAAAATTTATTTTATTTTTTATATTATTAATTTATGGTTTTTGTTTTGCATACTGTCACCCTAGCAGTACAGTGTCACCATGGTGACACTGTACTACTTATGGGGGGTGATGAAGATTGTTTTTTTTCTTTTAAACTGATTGCTTTTACACCCATAAAGGCTGTAAAAGCAATAATTTCTCATTCTCTTTGGCTGAATTCTTGCAGCCATTGAGAAATACTGTGTGAGCTGTGATTGGTCACAGCTTGTCACATGGTACAAGGCTGTTGTGAATAGCTTTTTACCAAGTGACCTCTGTGATCATTCACAGATTTCACAAGTAGTAAGCAATGATGTCACAAGTGACATCTTGCTTACTACTCTGCATGTGATCACTGATTGGCCAATCAGTGATCACATGATCAGGACCTCACACAGAGGTCCCGTACGACGATCACTGTTCCACTGTGTCCGGAAGACACAGCGGGAACCGGATCGCGGTGCTGCGCGCTCCCAGGGAGCACGCACAAGCAGGGGGCGGGGAGGCCATTTATAAACGGCCTCCCACCCCTGCATTGCCACCGTCCGGCCGTTTATATACAACGGCCAGACGGGAAGTGGTTAAAGTACAGTGCTGTGAAAAAGCATTTGCCTCCTTTCTATTTTTGGCATTTTTGTCACATCTAAATGATTCAGATCATCAAAAAAAAAATAATATGACACAAAGATAACCCAAGTAAATACAAAATGCAGTTTTTAAATGATGATTGCATTTAATAAGGGAAAAAAGTTGTCCAAACCTCGCTGACCCTATGTGAAAAAGTAATTGCCCCCTTGCTAAATCATGAATGAACTGTGATTAACCATATTTTTTGGAAAGCTGAGATAAATTTCACTTGCCACACCCAGGCCTGAGTACTGCCAGACCTGTTGAATCAAGAAGTCACTTAAATAGAAGCTGTCTGAAAAGTGAAGCATGCTAAAAGATCTAAAATAGCAACACATGTCACAATCTAAAGAGATTCAAGAACAGATGAGAAACAAAGTAACTGACATGCATCAGTCTGGAAATGTCATTTCTAAGGCTTTTGGACTCCAGTGACCCAAGCTGAGAACCATTATCCACAAATGGAGAAAAAAATACTTGGCACAGTGGTGCCCGGCCTACCAAAATTACTCCAGGAGCACAACGATGACTCATTCAGGAGGTCAGAAAAGAACCCTGAACAACATCTAAAAAGACTTGCACGCATCACTTGCCTCAGTTAAGGTCAATGTTCATGATTCAATTAATAAGGAAGAGACTGGGCAAAAATGGCATCCATGGGAGAGGCAAAAAGAACGCAAAGTCTTGTCTCACATTTGCCAAAAATAAATCTTGATTATCCCCAAGACTTTTGGGCAAATATTCTGTGAACTGATGAGACAAAAAGATTAACTTTTTGGAAGGTGTGGGTCCTGTCACATCTGGCGTAAAACTAACACAGCATTTCATAAAAAGAACAGTCAAACATGGTGGTGGTAGTGTGATGGTCTGGGGTTGCTTTGCAGCTTCAGGACCTGGACAACTTGCCATAATTGATAGAACCATGAATTCTGTGCTCTATCAAAAATCCTGAAAGAGAATGTCCAGCCATCAGTTCCTGACTTCAAGTTCAAGCACACATGGGCTATGCAGCAGAACAATGATCCAAAACACACCAGCATGCCCACCTCTGATTAGTTTAAAAAAACTAAATTATGGTTTTGGAGTGGACTTCCAGACTTCAATCTGATTGAGATGCTGTGGCATGATCAGGGCCGGTGCTTCCACTAGGCAAACTAGGTGGCCGCCTAGGGCACACTGCCATTTAGGGGCACCTGGGCCAACACTCTCAGAGGGAAGGAAGAAAGGACAGAGAAATATGCCCGATGTCTGGGGCCAGTGTAGCAGCTGAGCTGCTGCTCCTTCCAGTGTTCTTCTCAGACTCAGTCCCTTACTGCAAGCCAGCTAGCAGCTGCTGATCACTATGGTGTTCCAGCCCCTCTCTTCCCATTCATCACTGGAGGAGCTGCGCCTGCAGAGGAGGGTAATGTCTGACTCTGATGTCTCATGTCTGTGTGAGTGTGGCCCATCCATCTAGTGCCTGATGGGCCTGCTGATCTTCTGTGTCAGTGTTGGTGGTGGTGTGCTGTGTCAGATCTGTCACTGTGTGGGATCACTCAGTTCAGTTCTCTGTGCGTGTGTGTGTGTGTGTGTGTGTGTGCGTGTGTGTGTGTGTGTGTGTGTGTGTGTGTGTGTGGGCTGGGGTGCCTGCTGTCACAGCATTTTATCTCCCTCCATTGCCTTGGGAATTCCAGCCTGGGATCTGTCAGAGTGTAGATCCATCATCCTCAACTCACTGGAAATGTCACCCTGCCACTGCCAGCCACAGATACAGTCCATCCGTGACACTGATTTTGTCTTTAATATTGATGCTGGTGGCATCTAATGGCATTTATTTTTGCAAATTAAAAGAAATTTTGCAGTTTCATGTTTTGTTGATTTAATATTTTCTACTGTTTTTAAAATGTATTTATTTATTGGGGGGGGGGGGGCACGAGTAGCTGGTCTTGCCTAGGGTGCAAAATAATCTAGCACTGGCCCTGGGCATGCTTGAAAACCCTCCAGTGTGGATGAATTAAAACAATTCTGAAAAGAAGAGTGGGACAAAATTCCTCCACAGCGATATGAAAGACTCATTGCCAGTTATCGCAAACAATGATTGTAGCTGTTGCCGCCACAACCAGGTATTAGCTTTAGGGGGAATTGCTTTTTCACATAGGGCCAGGCAAGTTTGGACAGCTTTTTTCCCTTAATAAATGAAATCATCATTTAAAATCTATATTTTGTACTTACTTGGGTTATTTTTGTGTAATATTAAAATGTTTTTGATGATCTGAATCATTTAAGTGTGACAAATATGCACAAAAATCAGGAAGGGGGCAAATACTTTTTCACAGCACTGTACTTTAAAGTGGTTCTTCACCCTGTTTGAAAAATATTAAAGGTCAGCAGCTACTAATCCTGTATCTGCTGAATTTACTAAAAGGATATTCACCTGTCCAGGGGTCCAGTGCCATCCTCACCTGAACCGGTTCCTTGGGTCCACAGCACTGGTATGTTTACTGTGGGAAGCCAGCTGTGATTCCTTGCAGCTTCACAGCTGGCTGGCCACTGCGCATGAGCGAGCTGCACTGTGCTTCGTGAATGGTCCTGCAGCCTCCTGGGACCTGTGACGTGTCCTAGAAGGTTGCAAGTGGGGGGAGAACTTCTGGTGGTTCGTCGTGGCAATTCAAATGGAAGTGGGAGTAGGGACCTATCAAGACCAGGTACCCGCTCCACCTTCATAACAAAGTGGCAAAAATAGAAGAGGGGGGGGGCATCAAACAGAACTTACCCTTCATGGTGAAGTTCCACTTTAAGGTGGGAGGTCGGGGGACAGTAAAATCTCAACCACCTGTGAGGAAATTCCTTGTTGTCACTAGTGTCAGCAGAACTAGTGAAGATTTCCTTCCTGTTTCTGTTCTAGTGGCAACCTAAAATTTAGGTTTTTCGTTTACTTTCATTTTTAATGATAATGATAATGGACAAATAGAGGGGGTGACTTTCCCTAACGGGGACACAGACAACAATAAAAAACCTGACAGGTGTTCTAATTCCTCTCCACTCCATCCGAAACCTTAAAAAACCCAAAAAAACAAAAAAACTTTTGCCTTTAGTTATACTTTAATGTGATTGTAAAGTCTTTTTTTGATAAAAAACATGCTATACTTACCTGCTCTATGGAATGGTATTGCAGCCCTGAACCTCCTCATCTGGGGTCCCCCAACAGCGCTCTGGGTTCCTTCTTTTCTTTGTGTGGCCCCATCGCAGAGCCCTCACCCTGTACACTCACAGGGTTAGTAAACTAGTTAATAGTTAGTAAAATAAAATAAATAAATAAGATCTACAGGATAATGGCATAATGTTCTAGTCAGGGCTTAAAAATTTCAAGTCGTGGGCTACTAGCCAGGCCTTAGAGTTACTCGCCACCAACAAACACACACAAACAGAGACACCTGTACACACACACAGACATGTATATACACATACACACACAGAAACATGTACACACACACAGACACATGTATACACATGCATGCAGCACGTACAGACACGCATACACACAGATATATGTACATACACAAAAATACACACGCATAGACACATGTACATACACACAGACACATGTACATACATACACAGACACATGTACACACAGACACATGTACGTACATACACACATGTACATGCACACACAGACACGTACATACACGCAGACACATGTACAGATACACACATGTACATACACACAGACACATGAACAATTGTACATGCATACACACAAACACATGTACACACACACATGTACACACACACCCCATAAAAAGTTGCAGTACTTCGTTGTTCACTCACAGAGCCGGGTACTGCACTCTAGGGGGAGGCAGAGAGCACAGCACACACTCCTTGCTTTGCTGTCACTGCGCTCAGCTATTGAGCAGTCTGACAGCTCCCAGTTCCAATGACAGATCCGGCCTGAGCTCCGAGCCTGCTCAGGAAGACAGCCCTGGGGGACACACACTCGCCCCCACCATAATTTCTACTCGCCATTGGCGAGCAGGCGAGTGGAAATTTCAAGCCCTGTTCTAGTATGCATTGCACACTAGCACATTATGAAATACTTACCTTAAGAGGGCCTCCAGCATCGCACTGTCACCGCTGACAGGGTTTCCATCTTCACTCAGTTTCCTTCTGGGTTTGAGGGCTGTAGCTGTTTGAATGGCTGAGCTGCGATGACTTCACTCCCGTGCATGCACGTGGGAGTCACGGCTGTGGCACAGCTCTCTCCATGGATGGCATGCTGACCATTAAGAGCACAGTGCGGGCAAGCTTTATTAACCATTTCATCATAATAGCTTTGCTTCTCTTACTAGTGAGCTGTGTTTAGCCCACAGCTATCACATGATACCTGGGCCAATCACAGCACCCTGTATCATTTGATTAGCTGTAGCCAGTCACAGATCACTACTATCCTGAACTGTCATGAACTTAATCCATTCATGACAGTTCTAAGCATGATCTTCATTGTACCAGCAAAGTTAAAAAAAAATCAAGTTTAAAAAAAAAATAAAATATTGAATAAAAACGTATTTTTTGCTAACATGCCATCATCAGTCAATATGCCTCCCAACTGTCCCTGATTTTAAGGGACTGTCCCTAATTTGGAACAAAGTCCCTCTGTCCCTTTTTCCTCCTCATTTTGGTCTGATCTATACAGTTGTATACAAAATGCCCTATTTGTCTTTCAAAGAGTATTTCACAGTGCTAAGCCTTTCATCCAGTTTCTAAATTGTTGCATTTGTAAATTTCAAAAGCTAGTATGAAGGAATAGTACTGGTAAAAAAAATAAGCACTTTAAAGTGGGTGCTTTTTTTTTTATATAATTCTCCTTTAAGGTGATGTCACAATGGGGTGTGTCCTGTGCCTTCATACATTTGCTAATAGGTTCCCATCTCAAAAAGTTGGGAGGTATGAGTCAGTGTCCCTGATCACTGCCACACAAGTGATATCATGACTATGTACTGAACTGGTAACAACAGTTCATTAAAAAAACTGTAAAAGAAAAATTAATTTCTTCATTTTCCAAAAAAGTGTGACAAAAAATTACAACTTTAAAAAACTTACCATACCTCTTATGAAATACCTCAGACTGTCTACTTTCCAAAAAGGGTCATTTGGGGTGTATTTGTACAGTCCTGGCATTTTAAGAGCATCAAGAAATGAGATAGTCCGTCAGTACATCAGTATTGATCCATTTTCAAATATACAGTGGGGAAAAATTATTATTTGAGCCCCTGCAGATTTTGCAGGTTTGCCCACTTACAAAGAAATGAAGGGTCTATCATTTTTTATCATAGGTGTGTTTTAGATGATAGAGACAGAATATCAACCAAAACTCCAGAAAAAAACACATGATACAACTGTTATAAATTGAGTTACAGTTCAGTGAGTAAAATAAGTATTTGATCCCCAAGCAAAATGTGACTTAGTGGAGAAACCCTTGTTTGCAAGCACAGAGGTAAAACATTTCTTGTAGTTGGTTACCAGGTTTGCACACATCTCAGGAGGGATTATGGTCACCTCTTCTTTACAGATCTTCTCTAAATCCTTAAGATTTCTGGGCTTTCGCTTGGCAACTTGAAGTTTCACCTCCTTCCATAAATTTTCTATAGGATTAAAGTCTAGAGACTGGCTAGGCCACTCCATGACCTTAATGTGCTTCTTGAGCCACTCCTTTGTTGCCTTGGCGGTATGTTTTGGGTCATTGTCATGCTGGAAGACCCATTCACAACCCATCTTCAGTGTGCTGGCTGAGGGAAGAAGGTTCTCATCCAAGATTTTACAATACATGGTACCATCCATTGGCCCTTCAATGTCGGCAAAGTCAGCTTGTACCTTTAGCAGAGAAACAGTCCCAAAGCATAATATTTCTACCTCCATGCTTGACTGTAGGGATGTTTTCTTAGGGCCATGGTCAGCATTTTTCTTCCTCCAAACACAGCGAGTCAAGTTAATGCCAAAAATCTCAATTTTGGTCTCATCTGCCAACAGTACTTTCTCCCAGTCCTTCTCTGAATCATTTAGATGTTTATTGGCAAACTTCAGACAGACCTGTACATGTGTCTTCTTTTAGAAGGGAACCTTGCAAGTTCTGCAGGATTTCAGTCCATGGCGTATTGTGTTACCAATGGTTTGTTTGGTGACTGTGGTCCCAACTGCCTTGAGATCATTCACAAGCTCCTCCCGTGTAGTTCTGGGCTGATCCCTCACTTTTCTCATGATCATCCTTACCCCATGAGGCGAAAGCTTGCATAGAGCTCCAGACCGAGGGCTATTGATGGTTATTTTGTATTTCTTCCGTTTGCAAATAATCTCTCCAACAGTTGTCTCTTTCTCACCAAACTGACGGTGTAGTAGCCCATTCCAGCCTTGTGCAGGTCTACAATCTTGTCCCTGGTGTCCTTTGACAGCTCTTTGGTCATTTGCCCATGATGGTGAGGTTTGAATGGAAGAAAGATATTTCGTGGACAGGTGTCTTTTATACCCATAATGCATTGTCGTTAGGAGCACCTCCTTAAATTGACAGGACTAATCTGTGTACCACATGAGCACATAGCCAGTCTGTGGGAGCCAAAATTATTGTTGGTTGGTAGGGGATAAAATGTTTATTTTACTCACTGAACTGCAACTTGATTCGTTCTGGATTTTTGTTTGATATTCTGTCTCTAATATTTAAAATACACCTATTATAAAAATGATAGACCCTTCATTTCTTCGTAAGTGGGCAAATTTACAAAATCTGCATGGGATCAAATAATTATTTTCACCACTGTGTATACCATAGTTTATGGATGCTATAACTTTCCTGCAGATTAAATAATATGCACTGATTGGGATTTTTTTAATCAAAGTCATGTAGCAGAGTACATTTTGGCCTAAATGTATGAAGAAAGTGTATTTATTTATTTTTTATTGGATATTTTTTATTATTGGATATGTTTAACAGAAAATATTGTTTGTTTTTTTTTAATTTTCAGTCTTTTTTAATTTCTATATTATTATTATTTCTATATTAAAAAAATAAAAACCGCAGTGGTGATCAAATGCCACCAAAAGAAAGCTCTATTTGTGTGAAAAAAATTTCATTTGTATACAGCATTGCATGACTGTGCAATTGCCAGTTACAGTAGCGCAGTGCCAAATAGCAAAAAATTGCCTGGTCATGAAGGGGATAAAATCTTCCAGAGCTGAAGTGGTTATACAGTAGGTACAAGTAAACAAATGGTTTTTACTTTAGCTTTAAGTGCACCTGTGTGGACAATGCCTCATGCATGGGTGTAAAAATTGCCACTCCTAGGGGTGTCTGGCTTTTTTCTTCTTTATGCCTCTGAAAGCAGCTGCTGGTTATCTAATGCCCATATGCACATTGTGTCGCTTGCAGGTGTATTTGAGAGCAGCGCTCTGGGGTATATGAATGAATGTATTTGATGAATGTAAATGTCTCCAAATGTGCACTTAAGCACATATATTTACACTTATGTTAGTGTATGTGTTCATGCACACAGGGGTTTGGAGGCAGAAAAAGCCCAGGGCCTGTACATTCAGAAGAGGAGTGTTTTACTGTTAACAAATGCCTAAATGCAGTGTATTGCTAAAAGTATTGGGCCAGCCCTCTAAAATCTTTGGATTCAGGTGTTCTAATCACCTCAATGGCCACAGGTGTATAAAATCAAGCACCTAGGTATGCAGACTGCTTCTACAAACATTTGTGAAAGAATGGGTCGCTCTCAGGAGCTCAGTGAATTCAAGCGTGGTACCGTGATAGAATGCCACCTGTGCAATAAGTCCATCCATGAAATTTTCTTGCTACTAAATATTCCATGGTCAACTGTTAGTGATATTATAAGAAAGTGGAAGTAACTGAGAACAACAGCAATTCAGCCATGAAGTTATAGGCCACGTAAAATGACAGAGCGGGGTCAGCATATGCTGAAGCACACAGTGCGCAGAAGTCACCAACTGTCTGCAGAGTCAATAGCTAAAGACCTCCAAACTTCATGTGGCCTTCAGATGAGCACAACAGTGTAGAGAGCTTCATGGAATGGGTTTCCATGGCCGAGGAGCTGCATCCAAGCCTTACATCACCAACTGCAATGCAAAGCACACCACCACTGGACTCTAGAGCAGTGGAGATGTGTTCTCTGGAGTGATGAATCACGCTTCTCTGTCTGGCAATCCAATAGAAGTTGCCAGGAGAACGGTACTTGCCTGACTGCATTGTGCCAAGTGTAAAGTTTGGTGGAGGGGGGATTATGGTGTGGGGTTGTTTTTCAGGGGTTGGGCTTGGCCCCTTAGTCCCAGTGAAGGGAACTCTTAAGGTGTCAGCCAGAGGCAGACTGACAACTCATGGGGCCCCTGGGCAATAGGGGATCATGGGGCCCCTTTGTCCTTGCCCAAACTCAAAAAAGCCTATGAAAAAGGTACCAGGGGCATCTCATGGGGCCCCCTACTGACCCCAGGCCCTCGGGCAGTACCTGAGTTTCCAAATGGTCAGTCCACCCCTGCTGTCAGCATACCAAGACATTTTGGACAATTTCATGCTCCCAACTTTGTGGGAACAGTTTGGGGATGACCCTTCCTGTTCCAACATGAGTGCACAAAGCAAGGTCCATACAGACATGGATGAGCGAGTTTGGGGTGGAGGAACTTGACTGGCCTGCACATAGTCCTGACCTCAACCCGATAGAACACCTTTGGGATGAATTAGAGCGGAGACTGTGAGCCAGGACTTCTTGTCCGACATCAGTGCCTGTCCTCACAAATGCTCTTCTGGAAGAATGATCAAACATTCCCATAGACACACTCCTAAACCTTGTGGACAGCCTTCCCAGAAGAGTTGATCTGTTATAGCTGCAAAGGGTGGGCCAACTCAATATTGAACCCTACAGACTAAGACTGGGATGCCATTAAAGTTCGTGTGTGTGTACAGGCAGGTGTCCCAATACTTTTGTCAATATAGTGTATGTGCTTGAGGTGATTGTAGCTGTATTAGTACACTTAAACACACACAACTGAGCACTGTCTGTGATACTTTTTTTTTTTTTACACCAACATACAATTTTTAAGACATTCTTTCCATGTATGTCCCCTTCTTCCAGGTCCAAGCACTACTCGATGTGTAAACGTATCTAAATACGTTTGCGGCTTCGGACACGGTTTTGACGCTGCTTTTCTCCTGGTGTTTGGAAGAGATGGACAACCCAACCCCATGCATGGGGCCCTTCTGCCAACTTCTGGCATGTTTGCAGCATTTGTGTCCTGTGTGAGGGAGGCCTGACTGTAAAGTTGATTGTAATGTGTGTGGTGAGTGTGACGTGACTCATAGAGAGCTGTGTCCCAGCACTGTGTTGTGTTTGTTGAAGTTGTCAGACATTCTCCTCACAGACAGAGGTGTGGAAGGGAGAAGGGTGGGTCTGGCGGTGCTGTGGAAGGGAGAAGGGTGGGTCTGGCGGTGCTGTGTAACCTGAGCCCGGCTTTGTTGTCCATGAAGAAGGGAGACTTGTACTAAGCCCAGGCTCGCTCCGCCCGCAGGCCCCACCCCTCACAGAACAGGTCCGGGCGATCCCTGGTGAGTCAGGCGAGGTGCGGCCGTGTCCGGGTCTAGTGCGGGGCTGTGCAGGGACTTCACTCAGTCAGCCGGAGAAGGCAGAAGAAGAGCCGAGTCGTCCGTCTACACAGCGCAGTACGCACCTCCACCATGTTCAAGTGTGGTATCGCCTACCCCAGGTGTAAGTGGATCCTGCCACTACTCCTTCTCTGCGCCATCATCTTCGATATCATCGCCCTGGCCGGCCGGGGATGGGTGGAGACCGAGTCCGGGAGGGAGTACGCCTCCCTGTGGGAGAGCTGCAAGACCACCGACAACACCTGCATCTCCATCATGGGCTACGGTCAGTATACAGGGGCTGGGAATAGACAACTTCCAGCAAGTTCTCTGACGACCTCCCCACACACTGTACGATCTCTGTTCCCTCGACCAGGTGTTTATATGACGTGGTCTTGGTAGGTGTAGAGTTGCAGTGTGTGCTGAGCTCTAATACACTTTGATAAGTGATCGATTTTCTTTTCTGATTGGTTATACCTATTGGGGGAGATCAGTGTATAGTCAGTGAGCCATTTGATCAGTATGACACCCGTGTGAATTCGGGGTCGTGCACCCACACGGATGTCGAATTGGGAGCAGCTGTGTCCTAATTGACATGAATCCTGCATGGGAATGTACTGACCACCTGTGCAACCCATATGGGTGAAGCGTGCCCCCCCACAGGCCTCACTACACCCCATGTGAAGAAGGCCGTATTACAGAGGAGATAGGCAAGGTCTCTTCTGTAATAACAAACACCTGCTTGCTCACACTCCTTACTGAGTGCACACTGAGCTGCGCATGCCCATCCTAGCATGTGTTCCTGACATACTGTGCTGGAATGACAGACTCCCATGTACATGTGGTCATCGTTACCCAACTGGCCAATCAGGAGGCTGAAAACGCATCTCCCCAGAAGTATCCAGGGAGAATGGGATTACCCACCAGAACTTTGGAATGAGGTGAGCCTTAAAGTGGTTACAAACCCTTACATATACCCAGTGAAGTGACTGGCCCCAGGTGATACACAGACATGAAACAAATCATCCTAAAAAAGTTGTACCTGTTTATCTTCTCTTTACGTCTCTTCAAAGTGCTGAATTTATATAGCTTGTCTGAGAGTTCAGAAAAAAGTAGGTGGAAAGATGAAGTTACACACTACAGAGCTCAGTGAAGAGATCTCTGAGAGCTGATTGGAGGGAAGGGAATGCTGATTGCATTCTATGCATTAAAGTGTTACTAAACCCATGACCCTGCATTCTAACAGTACACAGAAAATGGAAATTCAATTATTTTTAGTATATATAAACTGCTAAATACCTTTTCTCATCAGCAGTTAGAGCAGTCTTGTGACTTCTATTAGTGTCCAGTCCACCACTAGCTAAAGCTTATAGGAGGAGTTTTCTTTCTGATCTAGGAGAATGGAAATCCCCTGACCTCTGTCTGGACAGTGCAGTATGGCCCTGTGCTAATCACATGCACTTTCCAAAGAAAAAAACCTCTAGCGATACACACCAAGCCGAGCATGTGCAGAAGGGCTATGGGTTCAGTCTGTATCATGTAGTCACTTCAACAAGAGGAGGGGCAAAGAAGACAGGATCAAACAGCTTTTTTACACAATGCAGAGGATTAACCCCTTAGGTTCCACAGTGAGTATAACAAGCATGCTTTACTGCATATACAGACTGATTTTACTGTTGTGGGTTTAGTAACACTTTAACCACTTGACCTCCAGAGGATTTACCCCCCTTAATGACCAGGCCTCTTTTTGCTACTCGGCACTGCACTAATTCAACTGATAATTGCGCGGTCATGCAATGCTGCACCCAAACGAAATTTACGTCCTTTTTTTCACACAAATAGAGCTTTCGGTGGTATTTGATCATCTGTGCGCTTTTTATTTTTCAGGCTATAAACAAAAAAATGCCAAATATTTTGAAGAAAAACAATATTTTTTACTTTCAGCTATAAAAAATATATAGTAATCTCAAAGTTGGTTATAAATTTAGGCCAAAATGTATTCTGTTTTTTTGGTAAAAAAAAAAATCCCAATAAGTGTATATTGATTGCTTTGTGTGAAAGTTATAGCGTCTACAAACTATGGTATAGATACTGCAATTTACGCCATTTTTTTGCTATACAGCGCTGCGCTAGTTTAACGGACAATTGCGCGGTCATGCAATACGGTACATAAATGAAATTTACATCCTTTTTTTTTCCCACAAATTGAGCTTTCTTTCGGTGGTATTTGATCACCGGTGCGGTTTTTATTTTTTGCTCTACAAAAAAAAAAAGGGCTGACAATTTTGAGGAAAAAAAACAATATTTTGGACTTTTTGCTATAAAACATGTCCAGTAAAAAAAAATTTAAAAATCAAATTTAGTCATAAATTTCTGCCAAAATGCATTCTGCGACATGTCTTTGCTAAAGAAAAAACCCAATACGTGTAAATTAATTGGTTTACGTGAAAGTTATAGCGTTTACAAATGGTGGGAAAGATACTGGGATTTTTAGTTTTTTTTTTTTTTTTTTTATACTAAAAATGGCGGCGATCAGCGACTTATGGCGGGACTGCGGCGGACATTCTGACATTGGGGGGTACTGACTTGGGGTCACTGAGATCCGCAGTGACACCAATACAGTGATCAGTGCAGAAAAAACACTGATACTGTACTAATGGCACTGGGGAGGAAGGGGTTGTTTATTTTTCAGGGAAAAGGTTAACTGTGTGAGGGGGAGTGTTTTACTAGGGGGCAGAGGTATGTACTGCAGGGGACATGGCTGATCGGGAGAGTGAAACTCTTCTGTCCCGATCAGCTTGTCCTGGAGCTGTCAGGGAACTGACAGAAAGCACAGCTACTAGAGCTGTGCTCTCTGTCAGCGATTGCCGCCGATCGCCGGGACATAGCCGGTAACGACCGGCTGTGACCCGGCGACTGATATCCGTGGCTGTGATCGGCGGGACAGGTAGGGCGGCGGCGCGCCTCGCACGTGCTCCCTACCCGTTTACAAAACACACGTTTTAACCAGTTTTTACCCAGCCGTGCCGCCCTGCCAACGTATTTCTACAGTGGCTGGGCGGCATGTTGTTAAGGTAAAAAACCTTCTATACTAATGTGTGTCCCCACACACCACTAATGTGTAAGGTAAAGTCTACAGGCTTGGAAAAATCTGTATGTAAATGGATAGAAAACTGGCTAAAAAATCGTATTCAGAGAGTAGTGGTTAATGATTCGCACTCTGAATGGTCTGGGGTCATCAGTGGTGTACCCCAAGGTTCAGTGTTGGGACCCTTACTTTTTAATAAGTTTATAAACTATATAGGGTCAGGGATTAAAAATATAATTTCAGTCTTTGCAGATGACACAAAGCTGTGCAGTGGAATAATGTCCTTACAGGATGTCTCCAATTTACAAGCCGACCTCAATGCACTATGTAATTAAGCAACTATGTGGCAAATGAGGTTTAATGTTGATAAATGTAAGGTTATGCACTTGGGGGCTAAGAATACGCATGCATCATACATACTAGAGGGATACAACTGGGGGAATCAATGGTGGAGAAGGATCTGGGAGTTCTGGTAGATCACAAGCTAAATAATGGCATGCAATGCCAAGCTGTGGTTTCTAAAGTGAGCAAAATCCTCTCTTGTATTAAAAGAGGTATAAACTCCAGAGAGAGATATCATTTTACCCCTGTACAAATATCATTAGTAAGACCTCATCTAGAATATGCAGTTCAGTTTTGGGCACCAATTCACAACAAGAACATTGGGGAACTGGAGAAAGTACAGAGAAGGGCAACTAAACTGATACGAGGCATGGAGGAGCTCAGCTATGAGGAAAGATTAGAGGAACTGAATTTGTTCTCTCTTGAGAAGAGGAGATTAAGGGGGGATATGATCAACATGTATAAATACATCAGTGGTTCATATAGTGAACTCGGTGTAGAGCTATTCACCCTGAGGTCATCACAGAGGACAAGGGGGCACTCTTTACGTCTGGAGGAAAAGAAATGTAATCTCCAAAAACGGAAAGGTTTCTTCACAGTGAGAGCTGTGAAAATGTGGAATAGACTCCCTCAAGAGTTGGTTCTGGCCAGCTCAGTGGGTTTCTTTGAAAAAGGCCTGGATTATTTCTTAGATACACAGAATATAACATTTTTAGGTAAAGTTGATCCAGGGAATATCCAATTGCCTCTCAGGGGATCAGGACAGAATTTTTCCCCTGCAGGAGGAAATTAGATTATGCTTTGCTGTTTTTTTTCCTTTTTTTTGCCTTCCTCTGGATGAACTGCCACTGTCTCCCTCCTCACAGGGCAGATTGATACCATTGAGTCAATCAAATGCTGTGACAAGGGAGTGACGCTGAGCTTCCCAGTCTTTGTCAATAGATACAGACAGGGTGGCTCAGGAGCAAGCGGCTCAAGCAAATATGAGTGCACCCATTGCAAGCGGCTTGCTATGGGGGCACTCACCGAACAGGAGGAGCCAGGAGCACCAGAAGGGGATGATCATGGCTTCTCTGTGCAATACCATTGCACAGAGCAGGTATGACAGTTTTTTATTGTGTTTTTTTTTTTTTTTAATTAAAATACACAAGGTTTATTTAAGGTTCCATTCTCGCCTGGCATTTTTAGAATGTACTACAAAGTGAACAGAAAACGTGTGTGTTGCTGTGCATTTCAGAAACGTGCTGCAAATATGCATCACACTTGGGGTACCCATTATTGTTCATGGCACTCCAAGCATATTCAGCAGATGCAGTTTTGCTGTACGTTTTATCGCACTATAAATGTGCCAAAACTTGTACTAAAAAAAATGTGCCGCAATGGATGACCAAAACAGGTTCTGGAGCTTCTTGGCAGCCCATTCAAGTGAACAGGAACAACGTTCCTGCTACATGAAGATGTGACTGCAGCCTAGGATACAGGTTCTACCAAACTGAGTCTACTGGTCAGGGAAGAAAGATGATTGGCACCACATGAATATGATTGTATTTCGATTGATCAGATTAGGAGACTGTATGGTGGAAGCAGATGCAATTGATAATTTGTGACTGTGGTACAATTCGTTATAACTTATCCATTACATCTGTTTCCTTCATATAGTCTCATAATCTAATCAGACGAAATAAAATCATATTGATGTGCTGTCAATTTTCTGCCCTGATCAGTTGACTTGGTTTGGTAGAATCGGTTTTAAATCTAAATCAATATTCATGGAAACAATCAAATAGTCATAACTTCCTATTTGATTGTTTCGATCGAATTTGCACATCGGGTTAAAAGACTTAAGTGTGTGTGGC